GGAGACCGCGGAGGGAGGCCAGCTGTGTAGGGATGGGGCCGGTGACGATTCCGGCGAAGAGGATGAGCTGGGTGAGGCCGGAGAGGCGGGCGACGGCGGGGGAGAGGGTACCGGCGAGGCCGGGGGAGCCGGACAGGCCAGTGCCGAGGGAGAGGGTGGAGACGCGGCCGGTAGTGGGGGAGCAGGTGACGCCGGCAAAGGAGGTGCAGGGGTCGGCGGCGGCGGAGGAAAAGTTCCAGGTGGAGAAGAAGCGGGCGGCGGAGGGGATCTCGGTGAGGGAGTTCCTGATCTGGAGAAGGGCGGCGAGGTCGACTGGGTCCACGGCGGCCGAGTAAGTAACGGCGAGGAGAATGACGGCGAGCGCCGGCAAGTTAGCACAGGGGTAATTTGTAGCCATTTTTTGAAATAATTTTCAGTTAGCCTGAAAAAAAAAAAAAATGTTTGTGAAATTTAGTGAGTGAGAGAGAGAGAGAGAGAGGAGAAAGGTTTTAACCGTTTGTGTGTGTTTTGTCAGTTTTTGGAGTAAAAGATGAAATTGAATTTAATATATTGTGGTGTGACTATATAAGATGCATAAATTCTATGGCACTAGGTGTGCCACCATATTATAGTGCCACAACATGATGTGGCACATTATGATTAGTGCCACATGTATAAGGTAATCATAGAATTTCTGATATAAGATAATCGTATAAGATGATGTTGATTGGTGGGTTGCTTCTATTTTTTTAAACTTTTTTTAATTAGTTTTAATTATGTGTCATGTGTTATCAATGTTTGGCTCCTTCCGTTGTATTGTAATAATAAATAGTACAACGAGGTAATAAAATCGATCAAATTGAGTTAGCAAAACTGCAGAAATTCTATCGCACCACATGTGGCATCATATTATGGTGCCACAACATGACGTGACACATTATGATTGGTGTTTTTTATCACACATCATGTTTGTGGCACCAATCATAATGTGCCACATCATGTTGTGGCACCATAGAATTTCTGGCAAAACTGAGTTTCAAATAATTATGCAAAAAATACTAATTTGTAAACCCATAATACAATTCGCTACTCAAATCAGATATTATAATTCGCCATCATTTAAACATTATCCAATACCAGCTAAAAGCAAAACAATCTATCTTGTGTAAAAAGTAAAGGGCTGCATATGGCCATTTTTTCTAAGGACGGTCAGAATTTCAAACATGGCAGGATAAAAGTAAATATAGCTAGTTTTGACTTGTCGTGGCTGTTTAAGCCCGTGATTAGTAGTACAATATTACCCCAAAAGCTGCATAGATTTTGTAAAAGAGAATCCTCTTTGCTGAAAGACAAACAACCATTAGGGCGTCCCCAATGGTTGGCTATTTGGCTAACTATTATGACGTGGACAGGGGAAAAGTATGAGAGAGAGTAGTCACTAACGACGAACAAATAGCTTATCTATTTCACGTAGTCCAAGATCATGTGAGAGGAGTACGTGGGTCCAATAGTGTAAAATAGTTATTTTTCTTATCTCACATCCACGTCATCTGACCATATAGCTAGTAATAACTATTACCATTGGAGATGCCCTAAGGGTTTAATTCTTTTTGAGTTTTTCTGTCATGAACAGACAGATTTTTGCTTCACAAGAGTTAATGCACTAAAAAAAATAATTATCTTTGTTCAAATAGTGCTAATCAAGATGAGCTGTCTCCATTAATATATAACTTATTATAATCAAGTTGCTAATCTCTGCACAAAATTCCATATCCTGCATATAATGCTTCCTTCATCAAAAGTTTACAAGCAGCAACAAGTCACAATCAGAGACAAAATAACTTCATTTGACAAAATTGTAAATTAATCATGTAGCTTTTGCAAATACAAACATAATGATAAATCCAAAAATAAGCTATAGTACAATGACCATCAAATCTTGGATGGGCAAACACATGGGATCGAAAAAAAAAAAAGGAAAGAAAACGAAAATCAAAGAATTAACTTATCTGAGCCCAAAAAAAAACGAAGAAGAAGAAGAAGACCACATTTATGAACCCTTTTGGCTTCCAAACTTCTCAGAGTTAGTTGCAGTAAAAAGCAAGCAGCGCCTCATCCGATCCGTGCACCAGCTTCTCGAGAAAGCTTTTTATCCGAATATCATCAAAGTATGAATGGGGAAAATTCGTGTAAAGGTGAAATCAAAAGCTCGCCAAAATATGTCCTTCACCCATATCTATATCTATATATATTTATATAATATCACAGAGATAATCTGACTTCCGTTTTTTTAAATCAGATCACAGATGCATTTCTCAACTCCAAATTATCTTGTGGCTCACCCTCTGAATGAATATGTACACATTTCATTCGTTTTTTTTTTCTTTTTTTTTT